CAGTTATGTACCACCACACCAGGCTAGTAGATACTGTAGATTCTATGCCCAATTAACACTTAGGAACTGAAGAGTGAAAAATTATGACTTACCTATAATTATGCATCAAGTCTGTAATAAATTAAGGCATTTAGAGTTTTGTGCTCCTTGCTATGGTCCTGCTAGAGCAGGAAAATAAATTGTATGACCATTCTGAAAAAGAAGAGAGAATAGAGAACTTAAAAGAGTGCCTTACTCATAGCAAGTTATTATTTTCAATAATTGTGCTACACTGAATTCAATTAAATAAAGAACAGTAAGAGGAAGAAGGAAATATCCTCCATCTTGGAACTTCTAGAGATCTCCTTCAAGGGACACATACATTGTTCTTTTATAGCAAACCTGTTCAGGAGTCTGCTCTATGTTCTCAGAGATATCCCTTTCATACTAAAGCTATCTTTTCTCCTTGCAGAAAATAAACAGATTCCTTGCCACTTTTCAATTTAGAAAGTGCTTTTTTTTTCCATTTAAAATAGTCTCATCACTCAAGATTGGACACTCAGTGCTCATAATTCTTACTCAGGGACACCCTAAGGAACATTCTTCTTGCTGTAATCAAACAACCATCTTTAAGGCACAGTTTTTGTTATGTCCACTTGCAGAAGAGGACATTGGGAGAAAAAAAAAAAAGTGTCACTTTCAAGGTAACAAAATACATGGTAGTTTCACTGGAGACCCTTGTTTTCTTACATTATTGTTTTTCTAAACTAAAGGGCACATGGGATTATTCTTCCATTTCTATTATCTTTGAATAATTCTCCACAGAACCCAGTATCTTACCCTAGAGCCTATCTAGGCAGGCTCAACACAGCTGTGCCTAGAAGCTTCATTACAGCATGTATATCTTGCCCTAATAAGTTATTTTCCAAGGAACTCTTCTTCATTATGGGATCCTTTCCAGACCTTTAAATGAATAAATAAATTATACACACACATGCACACACACTCACGCACACACACATACACACACATTTATTCATGACAGCACAGATCTGAAGTATCAGTGATAAGAATGCATCATGCCAGACTATTTTCCCTTATTAACACAGACCTGTTTGTACATAGTCTTGGATAATCACAGCCAAATTGGAAAGTGTAGTCCACATATAATGTCCCACTGCCTTGCCTGGGTTTCCTTCTGACTCTCTGAGCTGTCAGAGAGTTTCAGGCTCCTCATCCAGAAGTTGATTTTTACAGTTTCTTAGCATGCCAGCGAATTACTTTCAGTTTTCCTAAACCTCTATGCCCATGCACATGCTCTCACCTCTACCTGGAACATCTTTCTCTTTGTTTTCTGTCTTTATCTTCCTGCATACCTTCCTCCAAGGCTGCAGTCGGCTCTCAGCATCCAGGAGGTTTGCTTCCCCTGCATTTTCTTGTGCCATCCTCTGCTTCCTTTTTCTATTAAACAATCTTGTGTGGGACATATACTTTTTATTACCCTAACCAGACAAATGAGAAAGCTGAGGCCCAGAGACTATTAAGTAACTTGGTTCAAAGTTAGAAAGTGGATATGTAGGAAAAGTCCGGATTAGAACCAGGTAGTCCAACTCTAGAGCCCATTCCTTTGGTCTGCCCCTCTATACCTCACTCTTAGCCTTTGAATTTATTGGATGAATTAACAGGTGGTACTCTTCTTTTCTTCAAAGACATCAGAATTTCATAGTATAGATGTTCAAAACTGCAAATGCATCACAGATCTTAAAAAAAAAAAAAAAAGGCCATGACCTTCTCACAGAAGAAGAAAAGCAAGTATGTGAATACTAACAATAATAAACAAAATAGAATTTCATAAGGCTCTTTGATGAGCATTATCTTATTTTATGAACCCACAAACTATATTATGGTCCCATTTTACACGTGAAATTTAAGGGATGTAAATTTAAGGGATACCTGGATGTTGGGCTTTATATTTTAGTTCATCTGGGGATTGAACTCCAGTCTGAGCTAAGAGAGTTGAGTAAATTAGGAGTGTGGTAGATTTTTAAGAAATGGAAGAGTTTTCATGCTATTATTAACTATTCATAAAAGACTTAGCATAGATAATGGGGTCAACTTCCAGAACAAAATGTCTATACCTAAAGATGCCATAATATTTTGAAAACTCTACCCTCCCCCTTTTCCCTCCTGTTCTCCTTTCATTCTCTCATTCTCTTTACTCTGCTAGGCTTCTTTTAGCTCATCATTTATATTTGATTGTTTCTTTTTACTTATACATAATGGTGAAATTCCCTGTGGTATATGTATACATGCACATAACATGATTTTTTAAGAATTCATTCTGCATTGCCGCCCCTTTCCCATTCCTCCACTCTGTTTCTCAATCTCCTTCTTCTATACCTCTGCTCTTCCCTGTATCTTTATGATGTCCTATCCTTCCATTCTTCTTTCTTTTTCTTTTCTTTTCTTTCTTTTTTTTTTTTTTTTTTACTCTAGCTTTCACATATGAAAGAAAACATTGAACCTTTGAGTTTCTGGGTCTGGCTTATTTCGCTTAGCATGATATTCTCCATTTCCACAAAGGATGTTTTTATGTGGTTCCATCTCTTATTTTTTTCCTTCACCAGCAGCCTAATATGTTGCATGAGAGCTAAAAGAGTTCCTGGTAGGAATCGATAATCGAATTGCAGAGCAATCCCTGAGTTCCCTGAGTTTTGTTCAGAAATACATGTGCAAATGAACACACATTTTCAAAAATCATTACATATTTTTTCTCTTTTGAGGAGAGGACCTGTAGCCTTCAACAGATTCTAGAAGGAGCCTACTCTTTCCACTTACCCCAAGATAAAGAACCATTACTGTAGTGATGGAAATGAATTCTGATATTGGTCTAAACCTGATATTCTGATATTACAAGGGAAATGTGTGCCCTCCCTTTCATCAACACAACTACTACTTCCTCCTCCCCTATCATAAAATACCTTAAACTCAACATTTTTATGTTCTTTATCCACAGTTCAAAATTTTCACACCATTGCCACCCAGATAATTGAGAAATGCCTGAGGGAAAACAGATGGCACAGTAGTGTGTTGTGGGTTTTAAAAACACATTTACATACAATCAACATTTTATTTGCTATTATTTTAAAGCTACATGTTTTGCTAATACAACAGCAACCAAAACTACAAGGTATTCTGGGTGGCAAGTGAAGTCAACCAGGGACTGAAACAACTTGTATATAGAGCTGGGTTATTCAATATAATAGATTAAACATATGCTTAGGACATCAGCATCTAAGGCTGAGCAATCTAATTTTTAAAAAATATATATTATACAATGTAAACTTATTGTATTTCCTTTTGCTTGTTATACTCTTTAGTTCTGTTTAACTTTTCATTGTTACATACATTGTATTATATAAGAATGGCAGAGGGGAGCCAAAATTTCAGTGATTAAAGTCTTCTTGATCTACTCTTGATCCAACGCATTTTCTTCTCTGTGCCTCACAAGATTGTAAGTGGATCCTTCAAATAGATAATTTTATAGTTCATACCAATTAGTTTAGGATGTGTGGCATTGTTCCTAATATATATAACAATTCATTTAAACTCACAACGTCTCTATAAAGCAGGACTACTCTTAGCCACTCTTTTTATGTCTAAGAAAAAGTGAAGGTATTTTCAGTAGGAAGAGAAGTGTGGGAAGCTGGAAGGAGACCCAGGAGTGGTCCCCCGGGACAGCATATGAGCCTGGTTTCTGAATCACGGTGTAACTTTGCCGCTAAAACGCCAGGCAGTTTTCTGGGGTCTGGGAAGAATCACTTTTTAAGCACCAACTCGGTTCTCCCAATGACTCCCTCCCCCACTTCTCTATTTCCCTAATTGCTAACAGGCAGATTTCTTCCTCATCGGGCGTTAAATAGACCTCATGTTTTAAAAGCCAGCCCCTATACCACGCCTTGCGCAAGTGTGAAAAACACCCTCACCCAAATATCCGTTTTAAATTGGGGAGCGGATTGGTAGGCTGGAGGGTATGCGAACTCTCCAAAATGAATGCTTTGAGCTGGAATTTCTGGTATCCCAGCTCAGCGTGGATCTACCGCGAAAGAAAGTCATGGGTTTGAACAGACAGGCGGCGGTGGTGTGTGTATGTGGGGGTAAGTGTGTCATCTAAAACAAAGGAAAGTCTTATAGTCCTGCCATTACTGTCCTTAGTGAAGCTCTTGCCAGCAGAAGGGGGTGGCTTTGGCATTTCTTCTGATTAACCCCCCCCCCCCCCCATCATCCCAGATGTGGGATACCTATAAAAACTTGAATATAATATAATTATAGTGTAATGATTGCAACACATAAGCGCTAGATTATCATTTCCAATCTATTTTAATGCGCCTGTGACAATTTCATTGAAATGTTTATAAAATTGAAAACTTGGAACTTAATGGGTTAAAAATGAAGCAATCTTTGCCTATGACATTACTGGGGTTTTGGCAGTAAAGAATCCCTCCTAGATTTTCTAATGGTAGGGTATTACATTGAGGAAGAAGGAAACGGGAGGGAAATGTAGTCTTACCCGGGTGAACTAGCTCAGAAACCCACGTGCGCCTCTTTCGGGCGGCCGGAAGACGCAGCAGTTAGGAGGGACGACCCGAGCGCAGCAAGGGAAGCAGGTGGGGAAGCGAACCAGGGAGCTTTTCTCCCACCGCTTCCTAGGGCTCTAGGCTAGGACCCCTTTTGGCCGGTGCCCTGTGGCTAGCCCCAGGAAACGGCGAATTCACCGGTGTCACAGTCACATTGTATTCAGAGTGAATGGCGCCTCCGGGGAGACAAGTGAACGGCGCCCTCCTGCAGTGGAAAAGACGCCGCTCCAGCGGTAGACAGTGTCCGGGGGCCTCTTTCTGCCAGCCTCCGGGGAAGAAAGAGGAGGGGCGGGCAGATCGCCACTGGGCGGGGCGGGCAGCCAGCGAAAGACCCCGGAGGCTGGGGGAAGGGAGCAGGCCAGAGAGCTAGAGAGCCCGAGCCGCATGGAGTCTTCTGCAGACTGGCTAGCCAGCGCCGCAGCGCGGGGCCGCGCCCAGGAGGTGCGGGCGCTGCTTGAGGCAGGCGCGCCGCCCAATGCCCTGAATCGGTACGGTCGGAGCCCGATTCAGGTAGGTAAGAGGGTCTGCAGCGGGAGAGGAGGATGGCGGGCAACTTCAGCGGACGGTGTTGGCAGTGGAATCCGAATTAGATAGCTCTTCGTTTGTTTCAGCGAAACGGTGACGCTTCCTGGGAAATTTTTAGCTGGGGTTAGGTATCACAGCCTCCTCCTGGTGATTCCGTAGGGGCTCGGGAAGCCCAGGAAGAAACGGGAAGGCCCACGAGTATGGATCTCCAGAATGTTGTGAAGATGGGGTGGGGTGGGGTGGGGTGCTTATATTATTAGATTGAGGTATTAGATTGAGATACAGATTTTACAAACATTTATGATAAAAGCGAGTTTTAAAGAAATGTATTTTAAAAATGATCTGCTGGAACACACAGACCCTGAATTGTATTCCTTGCTGAGGGGGATTTCGTTGGAAATCTACTGCGTATATTTGGAATAAATACCGACTAAAATTATTCAGAAGCAACTACATTTTGTGTTTGTTTTATTTTAACTGAGTAGGGAGATATATGCTTGATGTAGGAACTTAGAAAATAAAGACAAGTATATGAAGATAAACGTTAGTGTGATCTGGCCTAAGACGTCCATTTTGTTATGTACTGTTTTGCTGTATTTAAATTCTTTATATGGTTTAATTTATTTCTGATAGTGTTTTCAATTCCTCATTGTTGAGAGAGAATTCTCATTTCTTCCCTTTATGCTCCAGTTTTATGTTAGTGGGGGAGGGTAGTGGATTTGTTGGGTTTTCTTTGCTTTGCTTTCTTTCTCTCTTCTTCTTTCCTTTTTGCTTTCAGTAAATTCCTAAATTTTAAGCTAAAAACCAATTCTGGCAGCCACCACCCAGGTTTTTATTCCAAATGGTGACCGTTATTTCTGATTATAAAAAAGAAAATGTATATGAAACAAATGCACATTGAAAAAAATATTCCTGCATAACAAGACAAAGGAAACTACTTGGAACTTCACAAACTGTCCAAATGACTTCCTTCCCTGAAACTATGAAAAATATAATAAATTTTACACACTTTAAAATATGAATATACAAATACATGAGTATATGAATATACAAATACAACCAAAATGCTCTAAAACTTAAGATTGTTTGGAATTTGAAGTGTGCAGACATTTTGAGTCTAGAGAGTTTAGGTTGTTGATTGTTTAAGATAAATGTGAATCCTTTAAAAATTATTTGTGCTCGTGAATAATAACATCTCTGAAATTTTGCCAGCAGCTTAGAGTTTGACTTTGGAGTCCTAGAATATATTAGAAGAGTCCTTATTTGATTGAATTTTAAAAAGAAAAGAAAAAGAAAATTGGATAATTATATTTGACAATTACTTAGCAGGGGGAAGAAAGGGGAAATGATTTTGAATTAACCAAATTGTTGCTTAATACAGAAATACTTAGTTTACAGAAAATTTGAAGTACTAAATTCAAGTTAATTTCTTATCAAATGGATTTAGGGACCCTCCAAATATTTCTTTCCTTTTTGCTTTTGGTTGCTATTATGATTTAAATACTCAAATGTGGGTCACTTTTCATCTTTTCATATCATAAAATATGTGGGAAACAATTAAGACCAGTTTTAAGACCAAGATGAAGGATTTCATCAGATACATGGACAATGCAGTGCAATGTATTTTCTTTCTTTCTGTAGGTACAATTTAGATAACATTTTCTCCTGTCTTTTTTTGCAAACTGTCAGTTTCACTTTCTTTCAAGACAAGATCCAGTAACCATGCTAGAATTTTTTATGGTTTCCTGATTTAGAAAAATTAATTCGTGTTTTATTGATACAGAATATAACTAAAATAAGCAATTCCTCTTTAGATAGTCACTGTCCCTGAGCTAATATAACCAGATGATGAATATCCTAAAAAGAATTGTCTACCATACCACCCACCATACAACACTCAAATTACAAGGTTGCAGTGATTATAGACAACATTTTAAAATTCCTTTTTGGAAATGGCTTTATTCTAAGATGATTTAGGAATCAAGAGTTCAGCATCTCCTTTTTCCAATAACCCTCAAATCATAAAATTGGAAAGTGTTTTTGTTTCCTATTGCTACTATAACAAGTTGCCACAAATGTAATGGCTAAAACAAATAAGAAATTGTCCTTTTGTAGTTCTGAAGGTCAGAAGCCAAAAATGGATCCACAGGACTTCTTTCTTTTAGGGGAAGCTATCAGGAAGAATCTGGGTTTCTTGCCCTTTCCAGCTTCTAGTGTCTGTCAAGTTCTTGGCTCAAGGCCCCTGAGTGTTTTCTTTTACTTTTGCTACCCTGCTTATATCTTTGCATTGATCTTGACCCTATTGAAAGGACATTTTTGCTGAGGCTGTAGCTCAGTGGTAAAATGCTTGCCTCACATGTATGAGGCACTGGGTTCAATCCTCAGCACCACATAAAAAATAAATAAAGAACTGTGTGTTCATCTACAATGAAAAGGCATTTGTGATCTCATTTGGCCCACATTCAAAATCCAGAATATTTTTCCTCAAGATCCTTAATATAAAATCTGGAAATTCCCTTTGCCCTGTAAAGTAACATTACTTTGCCCTGTAAAGTAACACAGCTTTTAAGGATTAGGACACTGACACCTTCTGAAAGCATTATTATGTAGAGGGGCATTATTCAGTTTACCACAGGAAGGAATTTTAGGGAAATTGAATAAGCCTTTTTATTTTATACTTAAAGAACCTGACATTTAAACCTCTGTGGTGGCATACACTTATAATCCCGGCTACTCAAGGCAGGCATCTGAAACACAAAGATAATGAGATAAAGGCCAACCCAGACAATTTAGGGAAGGAAGCCTGTCTACAAATGAAAAATAAAGTGGACTGGGGATGTAGCTCGGTTTAGAGCACTTGCCTAACATGTGCAAAGATCTGAGTTGGAGCCCAAGTACTGCATAAATAAGTAAATAAAATAATAAGTAAATAAAGTTTAACATTCTGGGAAGATAAGATTAACAGAGTTTTGCAAGAATTAAGGGGTGTGTGTTTAAAGTTTTCACTTTTTAATAATTACCACATCTGAGCTTGAATATACAGCAATGAACTACGCAGTCTTTGAGCCTAGCATAATGTCTCTAAATGATAGGGAAAATACAGGAAACTATTCTGTAGTAAAGCCAGTTTGTCTTTCACCCTTTTGCTGTTGCCTTTGCCTCTGGCAGCGTCCTGCTTGTGGCTAGGGCTCTCTGAAAGGTTGGTGAATATACTGGAGTTTGATGTGTACTGAAAAGTGGAATGGGTAAAATTGGAGGGGGAAAGTTGGTAACTAGAAGCAAATGAAGGGTAGCTAGACACCGCTGGCTTATACCCTTGACTGCATGGGGTGGGGGTGAAGCTTCATAAATAGGGTTTTTTCCCCCAACCAGTTCTGCCCATATCATTGCCCAGGCTCGCCCTAATCATTTCTCTCCCGCCCGCTCCCTTTCTCTCCCTCTTCCAGGTAATGATGATGGGCAACACCCGCGTAGCCAGACTACTGCTGCTCCACGGCGCAGAGCCCAACTGCGCAGACCCAGCCACCCTCACCCGACCAGTGCACGACGCGGCCCGGGAGGGTTTCCTGGACACGCTGGTGGCGCTGCACCTGGCAGGGGCGCGGCTGGATGTGCGCGACGTCTGGGGTCGCCTTCCGGTTGACCTCGCAGAGGAGCGGGGCCACCGCGACGTTGCGCAGTATCTGCGCGCGGCGGCAGGGGACACCGAAAGCGGCAGCCCAGCCTGCAAGGCCGGAGGGGAGGGTCCCCCAGGTGAGGATAGGTGGACAACAAGCACTTGAACCTGAGAGCCTCTGAAGCTCAGCTCTGTTATCAGAAGGGCCCGGGAAAGCAAAGTCGAGGTCTCGCCTAGAGTCACCTTACACAGCTAACCTTGAGACAATCTGGAAATTGAGCTGCCTCGCGGGAACTGTAGAGAAGATGTAACCCGAAATGAACTCAAGCGTGGGATGGAAGCCCATCCCATAAATCCTCTCCTCATTGACCACCTAAATACCCTGCCTGTACCTCGAGGCCTACTGGGCATTAACATTGTCAACTAGAAGGCTAGAGGTTTAATATATCCGGATTCCTCTCCAAACTAGCTGGTCAGTCGCATACACTCATCAAGTCTCAGTTTTCCCCAATGCGTACCTACTTTGAAGGGACACAAGTTCCAAACTCACTTATGCTAGGCATCATCAGGAGATCTGTCAGTTCGGGTGCTTTTGCTTTTATGCATGCAAATCTGGCTCTCTGCCTTATGTGGTAGAGTTTTCCAGAGCTCCTCTAAAAGATTTTGAGGGTACTGAATGGAGACCTTGAAATCTGCACTCTGTAAAAGAGAAGTTTTCGGTTTCTTAGAGACTTCATGGAACGAAAAAGGGTACGGTCCTCCTTGCCTTCCCTTCTGAAACCTCAAAACTTATTTTCCCACCAACTTATCCCCTTCACTGTAAGGGAACACTGTAGGATGGAGGACCAATCGCAGCGTTGCTGCGACATGGAGTAAGAAAGCAGAAGAGCCTAGGAGAGGAAGTAGGTTGTTGAACTGGACCAAACGAATGAATTTGGCAACCCCTTGTAACCAAACCCAAGATTTTTAGCCCAAGAACATGATTTCCTTTCTTTACTTTCTTCCCTCCCTCATTTGTTGGTTCCTTAAGTCCCTCATTCCTTCTCATTCTTTTCAACCCCTCCTCTTCAGATACACATATCCTAGATATCCTTAGGGGGTTGTTCCAGGAACTTCCATGGATACCATATCCTCGATATCCCTGATGTTTGATGTTCGTGTCCCTTTTAATGCCATGGTATTTGCATATAACTTACACACACACACCCCCTATATATTTTATTTATTTTGCATTGCTGGGATGGAACCCAGGGCCTTACTCTGGTAAACCAGGTCCTCTAAATCGGAGCTGTAACTCTCCACTCTCCACCTGTTTTTTTGTTTTTTTTAAAGTCTAGATACGTAGACCATTTTTATACTATGTTGTTTAGAGAATAATGACACCCCACCTCCCAAAGTCTGCACATATTCAGTACACAAGCAACCATGGTAGACCTAACCACACTTTTCTCAGGGAATTAGTTGAATCCAGATAGGGAACCCATGAATAAGGAAGATCAACTTAATTCCTTTTTTTCCCTCTTGGGTGTGCCTGCAATTGAAATCAGGTCTTTGAGTGTTCTAGGCGAACTCTATACATCCTTATCCCTGAATGGAATTTTTAAATGAAGATCCTACCACATGATCAGTCCCCTTCTAGATGCTGGGGACACAAATATGAGCAATACCAAACAGATTACATTCCCAGAGCTTACATTCTGGGAAATAGACTTTTTTGACAAAAGCATTTTAGCATTTGTCAAACCATTACAATGAATAAATGAACAGGAGAGACTAGACTAGACAACCTGCCTGATGAGAAGAAAGTACTCAAGGGAGACAGTCAAGTGCAAAGACCGGCGCTCGGGGCTCGAATGATGGTGTGAGTGTTGGCGCACCTAGTGAGCTGGACATGTACAAAAAAGCTAGATCGGTTAGGAATCTTTTAGATAAAATAAAAGAGAGTTCATTTAGTTCTAGAAACAATAGGAAGCCATCAACGGGTTTGGGGGAAGGACGTAGGGACCGAACTATAGAACTGGAAGCTATAGAACCGGAGCTTCTCACCTTGTCGAGCGAGCGACTTCAGAAACTGGATTGCCCTTTGGTCGCGAGAGCTTGCTGGCTAGCTCTGCAACCAAAAGAGGAAGAGTGAGATGACATCTTCACGCCGAGCTCCTAGTGGTGTGTGGGTCAAGACCTTGGCGTTCGTTATATACTCTCCCAGCCGTTGCCGAGCGCGCAGACCCAAAGTCCATGCACTCCTGGATCTCACAGGCTCCGGAGTGTGGCGCGGGATGACAGGCTTTAGAACTGTTGGGCAGATCCTGTGCCCACGGTTGGTGAAAATCGGGAGAAGGTGTACATGAAGACGAAGCCATTTTGAGAAACTTGGTCATAACCGCCAGAATCCCGGGTCTGGGCTGTGAGAGAGGTGGGAGGCACCGACAGCAAGTCTTCGACTAGTTTCTAATGTCAGTTTTCTCTTTATCCTTTACAGGTAACCCCGACTTAAAGAATCATTGAGGTCTGAGACACTTAGAGCCTCAATCTACAAAGTTGGAAGAAAGCCCTACATTTTGCCAAAATTTTCCCTGCTTTCTTATTTCCAACTTTTTAATAAATACAGCTTTTAAAAAACGTGAACTGCTTCTTTTACGTGGACCTGGCTTCCCTCTGCCCGAAATTTTCCTTTCTGTTTACATTTATATGTCATTGTAAGAGGTATTTTCTTTAAAAAAAAAAAAAAAAATCCTGCCTTTTCATTGGGCTGGAGTTTTTATGAGTACCGAGGTCCTGAGGACTTAAGTATGTACTTCCTCTTTCCCAACAAGGCGCGTTGTTACCCCAAATGGCGTTGTTATAGCCATTTAATGAACTGAGAAAGCTCAAAGGGGCTACGTGCCTTTTTTGGATCAAATAGCTGGCAAATTGCAGAGAGAACTCTATTTTTTTTTTAAAGAAAGTTTTCATTCGCTCACATTTATTCAGTCTATTTATTTAGGATCTATTATGGCCCTGCGTCAGAGATATAGAAGGGGTAGGGGACACGGATATCAGCCAATTGGCACACAAAATACATAACTAGAAATTTTGATTTCAATTTCGTTGAATTGCAAAGAAATTTGTGAGATTCATCATTGTTTCAGATAAACACTGCCGTTAGAGAACAACACAGCTATGCATTGTGAGACATCCAGATTTCAGAGATGATTAAAAAAAAAAAAAAATCAAAAGCCAGGGCTTAGAATAGATGAGATGCGCTAAAACGAGGAAGGAAAATTCCAGGGACAATTTTGCTGGACACTAGTATGCTCGGCCTTCGGTTACGATCCTCTTATTTCGCGAACCTCACGAGGTTTAGGGTATTCCGTTCAGTAGCCAAGTCGAATTTCAACCCCAGCCTAGGAGCCCTTGTCTGCTACTTTCTGAAGTCCTAACGTGGCTGGTCTCCCATCTGCGCTATGGAACCCTGCAGGCAGCGGGTAGAAGAGGGGGTGAGGGCGGAGTAGTTCAGATTGCCACTTACCTCTACCAAAAAAGGCAACTCGTGCTTCTCCTCAAAGCAGGGTAATACAGGGACGTGGCTCTGACTTCAATAATATCCAGGACATACTCCTGTCCACGCAACTGCTTCATCTCAGGTTGGAGCACTATTGCTCTATTATTTATTTATTTTTATTGAGGTGTAATTCCCATAACCTAAAATCAATGATTCAAAAATATACAGGTAGGGTGGCACACGCCTGTAATTCCAGTTACTCAGGAAGCTGAGGCAGGAGAATCAGGAGTTCAAGGACAGTCTGGGCAACAAGGTAACATAAAATAAATAAATAAGCAAATAGAAAAAGAAAACATAAATGCCATTTAATTCATTCAGTGTTGCTCATCCATCAATCTATCACTCTTATCTACTTCTCAAAACATCTAAACATCTTCATGATCACCAAAGGCAATCCCATTTAGCATGCCCATTAAATCATCCTCGCTTTGCCCTTGGTAGTTGCAAATCTTATTTTGTCTCTACAGATTTACCTATTCTGGACATTTCATGTAAGTGGGCTCATATATGCTGTGACAGTTTGTGCCTAGCTGCTTTCACTTAGCACAATGTTTTCAAGATTCATCATCCACATTTCAACATGCAACAGCTCTTCTCTTTTTAATGGCTGGATCATATCTCATTGTACAAATATACTGGAATTTGTTTATCCATTAATTTGGTAATGAACATTTGAGTCATTTACCTTTGAGCTATTGTGAACAGTTCTGCAATGAATGTGTACAAGTGTCTGAATTTATGTTTTTAATTCTTTTTCATAAATGACTAAGAATAGAATTTTAAGGTTATAAATAATGCTATGGGGCTTTGTTTTATTTTATTTGTAGTGTACTGGTGATACCCCATGCCCTTTTAATTAAAAAAAAAAAAATTAGAGAGAGAAGAGTGGGGGGGAGAGAATTTTGAAACTGGATTTCACTAAGTTGCCCAGGCTGGCCTTGAACTTTTGATTCTCCTACTTCAGCCTCACTAGTAGCTGTGGTTACAGGCCTTTGCCACTTTGCCCAACAAATAATTCTATGTTTAGCTTTCAGAGAATTCAACATTTTCTACAGTGCTGCACAATTTCATCTAGGTTGTCTAATTTGTTGGCATACCATTTATTCATAATACTGTATTCTCTCATAATCTTTTTTTATTTCTTTAAGGTCACTAATAATGGCCCCACCGCTCTGTCGTTAAGTCGTCTTGTGGATTCAGCGTCCACTTGGTTGCAAAGTCAATTCGACATTTTTTTTGGGGGGGGGCTTGTTTTTCTGTTTCAGTGGAAGGAAATGCTCTTGGAGCTTCCCTCTCTGGGTGTTCGCTGTCACCTATAATTTTTAATTTGCTTTTGCTTTAAGGCAGAATCACCAAATGTCTCTGATGTGCCAAGTTCCTTTCTTCACATATCCCTCTGTGCCTGCTATTCAGTGCCCATGTCCGGCTGCCTTTTTCTGGGTATCTGTCTTCCATCGCGCTCTGAACTACCCTAGTACTCAGCGATAAATTGTCTCTCTCCAATTTTTCTCTCATCTCCCCACCCCCAACCAACTGTAAGACGCTCACTTCCTTCCCTTCTGTTTCAGAGATCGCGAGTTCGCAATAATTCTCCTTCTTGCCAGCAGGCTCCTCCGTGGTGTGATGTACACCTCAGGGACAGAACACGCGCCTACTTGAAAGCCACACAGCCTTGGGCCCGGAGGCGTTATCTCCGGGGCCCTTCCGTGGAGATCTGCCGAGCCTCCCCGCGAGGTTCCCGAGCTCACTGAACAAGCGCACAACCGGCTAGGCTGCTTCGGGGAGCGACCTGCAGTGGAAAGGCCGGGACTAGTCTCCGGTCCTAGCGGTGCTGGGTGCAGGAGGCCGCAGCCACCCGCGGACGCCAAGTAACTCACACCGGCTTTCTCCAGTAATAATCAGAGGGAGGAGGGAGCGTGCGAGGAGTACTGGAAAGACTGAGGGGCTCTAAACCCGCTGTCCAAGGGCCAGAGGCTGGAGAGGGGCCTATGAGATTGCACTTTGCTGGCGAGGACTTTCCTCTGAACCATCCGGCCGGTGCCAGGGTTGTGAAGCGGAAAAAAGGCACTTCCGACCCAAGAATTCTCAAGCTTCCCTGGGAGCGCGCGTCCGGAGAGCGGTGAGGCCCACGCGCGCCCGGATGTGGCGACCTTGGAGCCCGCGAGATCTACTGCAGCTTTTGGCTCCCGGGCGTGTGAGAGACGGAAACTTGGCCTCGGTCCTATCTTGTCCCAGGCGGTTGCCCCATTTACCTCGGTGGCGGGCCAGACGCGAAGGTACCTATTTAGCCTTGTCACCCCACCTCCAGTACAGGAGATTGAACCTAGGCGCCCTATCATTCAGCTGCATCTCCAGCCCCCCTCCCTTCTTTCCTTTCTTTCTTTTCTTTTTTCTTTTAATTTTGAGATAGGGCCTTACTCAGTGGTTTAGGCAGGCCTGGAACTTTCGATTCTGCCTCAGCCTCTAGAATATTTAGGATCGCAGGCGTGCGCCACCGGGCAGGCTAATAAACATATTTTTTAAATGAATACGTTATCATTATTTCCTCTTTTTCTATTAGAACGTGTCTTTTTAAAACTTATTTTTTTGTTGTTGTTTTAGATGGATACAATACCTTTTTATTTATCTATTTTGATGTGGTTCTGAGAATCGAATCCAGTGAGTGCCTCACACGTGCCAGACAAGGACTCCACCACTGAGCTACAACCCCATCCCCTAGAAATTGTCTTTGAGTGAATTATAACGTTTTGTTTTCTGAATTTTCAGTTGTCTCTCAAGTAGCAGAGTCATCAGGAGTTGCCATAGATCATCTGCAGACAATCCGGTTTTAGAGAATCATTTCTTTATGGGGATGGCAGCCACGAGAACAAGTCTGAGGACATTCCACTTACATTTTCTATCAACTACTAGTGAACTTATTTAAAGTATTTCCTCTGTTTATTAATATTTTTAAGGCACTTGAGAACAGACTGAGAATAAGAATTCCCAAACCCCTATCTCCTTTCGGAGGGTAAAGTAGCAGCATCTCCAGAGCCTATTTGCACTCATTCCTAGAAAAAGCTGTGCCCTTTGAAGGGGAAACAAAGTGAAAAGTTCTAACTCTAAGCTATCTCCTCATTCCTTAGTTAATGCAAAGAAATGCTCACTGAGCACCAACTCTGTATCAGGCATCGTCCTAAGCAATAAAAATTGTAAAGGACTCGCCAGCTACCTCAAAGGGAATATAGAAATAAAAACAGAAAATATTAGTGTTGTTAGTAAATTTTTCGACCTTCTGTTTTAGCTGCTATCTTTGGGAGAGTCTTCTCATGGCTTGGAGAACTTTATTAACAAACTGAACATCTCTCCCTGCCCCCAACTAAGCCAAGCTTTCTTAATTTGGTAAACAATTCCTAAGATTTTTTTAAAAAATGAATAGGAAGCCGGGCACAGTGACTCACGTTTGTAATCCCAGTGATTTGGAAAGTTGAGGCATGAGTATTGCAAATTCAAAGTGAGCCTCAGCAATTTGGCCGGCCCTAAGCAATTTAGCAAGACCCAATCTCCGAAACAAAAAACACAGAGCTGGGGCTGGGGATGTGGCTGGTGGTTAAGAACCTCTGGGTTCAATACCTGGTACAGAGAGAGAGAGAAAGAGAGAGAACAAATTAATACGTCAGCCTTAGCCCCCCAAATCTCATTACTCCCCCCCATTGGAGGTGGGAAAGAGAGGGGAAAATGCCCCTTTCTTTGTAAATTATTTAATAAAATAATTTATTGTTGTTAATGATTTAGGTGAGAAATTTTTTTGAACTTAGCAACCAAGTAAGTAAATCTTTGGATCTTTCTACCTGACAACCTTCAAGGCATCAAGGATGATTAATTATTATGTACATTTAAAGCTATTTTAACAGGTAAATAGCTTGTATCTATTGCTATAATTTCAAACTTTAAATGGGAGTAGTAAAATAAGATAGATTTGGCCTTAGAAATCAAGGATATCTTTTTTGTTGGGGAAATAAGGATATAGTTTTTACAAAGCTAGATAATTAAATAAGGAGATGAGAGTTAAAGGAGTGAAGAGAATAATGGTGTGTTTCTTTTTGTTAGGAAAAGAGGGTCTCAGGAAGGCCAGGTGGGCTGCTGAGTATCACCACAGGACCAATTATGGATACTTATGGACAGTGCAGTCATGAAGTGAGGGGCCATCCTACTCAAAGGCAGGTTTGTTATTTAATACAGAAGAGCAGAATTATTAAATTCCATGTCCAGTTGTATATCAAGTAATCAATGACATATAAAATAAAATAGAAAGAAATTGATTTCACAGTTTCAACTGGAAAGTAGTACTGTTCCAGGAAATAAGGGGGTTGTACTAACTACATGACTCCTGAGCAAAGCTAAAACAAAACAAAATTTCAGTATCTGTAGGCAAATTAGATGATGATGATGATGATTTTGCTTTCTTTTCCTCTTGTACAAGAAAAGGTGTGTATGAACATTGCTGAGGAGACTAAATTTGTATAATATCTCTGGATGAAATTAGCTATGTCTATGAAAAATATAAAGGAATATTTATATACTTTGACTCAGCAATTTCACTTCTAGAAATTTATTCTAAAGATACATTTGCACATATGCAAAATGGCCCATTTAAAGGAATAGTTGCTATAGGTTTATAATAATAACCAAAGATATGAAACAATTTCAATGACCATAAATGAAGAGAGGCTTAAATTTTGAGGCATCCTTGCAATAAAAACATATAGTTATTTAAAAGAATCAGGCAGATCTAGTAAATATATAATGATTTCTGACATACATTGTTGAATGAAAAAAGAGGTACAGGACAAGGTGTGTAAAACACTAAATTTAAAAATATTTGTATATGTGCTTGTATAACCTAAAGTATTTCTGGAAAGACACATAAGAAATTGTCAACTATTTTATTTTTGTTTTTTTTTTCCTTTTTATTGATTCTTTTTAGGATTCATTTTGACATAATTACAAGCACATGGAATATACTTTGCTTTAATTCAATCCCCAGTACTTACCCTTTCCCTCCCCATCTCACACCCCCTGTGGAGAAGGGTCCCTCTATTCTACTGATTATTCTGATTTTCTTCTGGGGCATTAAATATGTCTATATGTTGTTCTTGATTGCTGGGTCTTCCCCTTCTCCTTCTGTAGGGAAAGGGACACTTTCCCTCAAAGGCTCTGTCCTCACTCATACACCTTGCCTAGGTGCTTCAGATGTGAGCAGTTATCAGCACATCAGATTGAACCTAGAAGATGGGATCCTCAGAGCCCATAAAATGGTTCAAGAATATCTGGATAGGGCAGCAACTAAAGAAATTTTTATTTCATGTAAATCAGCACCTTTCCATTTTACTCCAAGGCCAGCATCCTGTTTTCTCTCCACAGTTCTTCCATAGAGGTTTATGTTAGTGAACACATACAAAATAAATAAATAAATAAATAAAAATACT